TCTTATCAGAAAGCTCTCGATGTATGGATTTGTTTGATACAACCACATAACTTCTTTTAGAGGCCAAGGAACCAAACCTATCTTAATTGTCAAGTGCTATCAAAATGAAATATCTATATGGGAAAGAAAGTTACTAATCATATGGAGAAGAAACACTTGAAATGAATTTTATGTAACTACACTCTATTCAAATCGTATTAAGGAAGAAGAAACGCGAACTCTGATCAAAATACGAGAAGAAACAATACTTTAACCCTTTTTTTTACATATGGTCGATTATAACATTAAAAGCTGGTGTTACACAACGAAAATAGCCGGTAGAGAAAACCCATCCATAGCCATGCTAGCACGGAAATAAATCACTTTGGAAACTAAGCCCAAACAAAGAAAGCAAAGCCCAAAAGAATACCGCAAAACAAAGCCCAAACAAAGGGAAACACAAGAAATACAAAACGATCGAATTCCAAACAAAAGAAAGACAAGCACAACTCTTAAGACGAAAAGACCAAATAATACAGTCGGCGAAACAATACTTTAACCAATATGTCGTTACTGTCACAAATAAAAATAAATAAATAAGGGAATTAATTTAGTATGTACACTACACACCTATTCTTCTAAAAGAAAGCAACACAAGCCAAAACATCATCCCGGATTGGTAACCGGAAAACGGCAAGCAGTTTTTCCTCTATCTCTATTTCTACTCTCTACACTTGCAATACAATCCTCCTATACGTTTTACCAATGCATTACAAATAAATATAGTCCTGCAAATCAAAACCCTTATCAAGAGGAACACATGAAATTAACACATGAAATCTTTCATCTAACAAGTTCTCTGGCTATCAAATACCGAAACCCGAAACTATGAGGCGTCCATTCGATAATGCTCTTTCGGAATCTCCCTGAGTTAAGTTTCTTTATGGTTTTTTTCATTGTCTCAGGGAGACATTCTTGAATCATCTCCATCAATGCCGTTTGACTCAAACCCGAGTCTTTGCTAAAACATTCAATGATCTTTGGTAAGACTAGTTTTTGGTCTTTTTTAACCCCAAACATTGCGCGTATGTACTCCTCTTTTGCGGTTTCTAGCTCTTGGTATATTCCCTTGGGCGTATAAACACGAATCTAGAAGCCAAGAAAACACTCATTCAAGAAAATACTCATTCAAGAACTTTCATTTTACTATTTAGATAACAAAGTGGTAAGCTTTCTCTACTTACCGCTGGATCAGAATGGTTGCCTGAACAAAGGGCAAAGTATAAGAGTGATTCAGAATGGTCAAGGGAATATTCTTGATGCTCATCTCCCGTTCTGAACTTTCTCGGAATGAGTAATAACTTCAGCCACTACATATAGAAGAGAGAAACTTTAAGACACAGCCACATTGACAATTTCTGGTTTTGAAATATGCGAGAACAAGGCCCAACCTGGCCAGGACGAGGCATCCTGATGCGAAGAATATAACTTTGTATCGCTTCTATGCTTAACATGCGACCTCCTATGTTGTAAGCTGGCTGAAATATGAGCAGAGACCAAAAATTTTCAGTATCATACTAAAAAGTTTAGGTTTTTAATATATCTTCTTGAAGTAAACCAAAAAAAGTGTTGATAATATTACCTTGGAGAGCAGTAAGAACCGCTTCCCGTTGTTCTGTGGAATCCCATTTGCAAGAAATGTCTGCAATGGTCAAAACCCAGTATAAGTTTAAGAAAATTACAGTAAAAAAGAAGACATAGGTTAGATCAAAGGAACAGGGAGAAAACTTCATACGTGCATCACAAGTGCGTTATGTATGTTAATCCAGAACGCCAGTTTCTCTTGATGTGTCAGCTTTCTGGGATCAACACTTTCCAGTTGCTTAATAAGCAAGCTGTATAAGTACAAACCAATGACTTGTATCAGCATACTACTGAGGGAAAGAACGATGAAAAACTCGGATAGCTGCTATTCAAAGGCTGACCTGAAGTTTCGGTTCATCAGGTCAAGGTCACGTCCTTTCCTGTGGTTTCGATGAATGACTGACACTTCGATCATTGAGCTATATGGTCCGCTGAATTCAAATTGGTCATCGAAAGACGAGTTTTTTCTGAAGCTTGGACTCCACATATCATATTGGTCATGCGGCGAAAACTCGCTTGTTGATGATGGAGATGAACTTGGAGATGAGAAGCCGTGGTTTATCGATGGTGGATCTGCGAGCTTGGAGTATATAGCTGATGCACATTTTATCATTTCCTCTGATAACTTGTTTGGAGTCATAAATATGTGATCGGATATTCGAGTTCCCATGTGCTGTGCAAGACTTGCGGTATTTGATCCGTTTTGTATGTACTGTTTCATGAAAAGTTAGTAAAATCACAGACTTTATAAACTCTGATGTCAATACAAGATGATCGAAGCATTGCGATTAGACTTACTTCTTTTATGTTCAATGGTTGGGAGTGGCAGGCAAATACCGAGTCTTCTGGTGGAGATATTCGATTATTGAACGTGGAACGTTGATTAAGCGAGGATTGGCAGCGGCGAACACATGAATCGATGTCCTCCTTCTCGGAAAAACATTGATCTTTCAGTCTATTGTCAAAGGAGAAACACCGGGAATCAATCGTTGAGTTTTCTTGATTGAATTGCCGAGCAGCAGAGCAAGGTTCCTTCAGTCTATTGTCAAAGGAGAAACACTGAGAATCCATTCTTGAGCTTTCTTGATTGAATTGACGAGCAGTAGAACCGGGTTCCTTCAGTCTTTTGTCAAATGAGAAACAACGAGATTCCGTGGCTGAGTTTTCTTGTCTGCCTCTAAAGCTAGGTGAATCTGGTTCCTTCTTGACCAAACATGGACTGTTCAGTCTGTTGTCAAAGGAGAAACAACGAGAATCAGGTGTTCTTGAGAAGTCTAGACGTTTTCCTCTGAGAGTTGATTTAGGTGAACTCGAGCTCTGTTGTTTCGATGTTGGAGATACGGAAGATGTTTGTTGATCAAATGCTTTACGGTACAAAGATAAAAGGTACTGTTCCAAATGTGAAACTTCTAACTCTAGCACAGCGATTTCCTTGATCAATTCTGTTGGAGGCTGCAAAATATAAGAATCATTTGGTGAATTGCACAATAGCAACGCTCCATCGCCTACTTACGTAAAGAAATCGATTGTCTGTCTACCTTTTGAGTAGAGTCGGGCTTCATGTTAGTGTCTCGAGAAGGTGTTTTATAGCCTAATGCCTTCTCTAAAGCACCACGGACATCGAACTGGTTCTGTAATCTTTTCTCAAGCTCTAGAATCTGAATGCAAAACCAAAGACCATAAAGAAACCAATCATTTGAATGAAACAAATCATATTAGAGTATAGAGAGAGCTACACAGAAGTTCAAATACAAACCTCTTGCTTCAGAGAGCTCTGGACTTTTACATCCGGCAATAAATTCTTCTTCGTTGTTTCGACAGATTTATCGCAGCAGCGAGGTAAGTCCTGCCAAAAGTCAGTTAGAGAAAAAGTAAGAATCACTTGTTCTTTAGAATTGTTAAAATCAAAAGTCAGTTGGTTTTAAAACTCACGAGCTTGAAGCGTTGAGAAGGATTCAGAGAACAATCAATGCTATTATCCTCTTCAAGCCTCTTCTTTTCAAGAACATTGCAACTACAATAAGCGATCGAGATACCAACAAAAAAAAACAATCAAAACAGTTAAAAACCCACTAAAGATAAAGAAAGATTCTAAGCAAAATTAGACAGAAACCCACAATCTAGGAAAAAGTACACAAAAGGTTGGATCTTTTAGTCCTAATCCTAAAATTCTTCAACAAAGACAGAAACTTTGACCCATCTAGCAGCGAAATTACTTTGCATCTGAGCAAATTTCAACTACCCAACTTGTCGAATGACCCATCAGAGACAAGTAACATGAAAGCTAAAACAGAGGTAAGTAAGAAAGTCGTAAAATTGCCAAACCTCTTCGAACGCTTGTGTCTCTGTCTCTGCATTTTCTTGTCTTCAAATCCCATCTCTAAGAATTCCCTGTAACCAATAAAAAGAAGAAAATCCGTTGAGTGAACTATGGAAGCTCTAAAAATCAGGAAAATGTTAGAAACTTAAGCTCACTTTTTGTATTTACTGATCTCAAAGCGAGAACAGAAAACGAAGAAGAATCTGTAAATGGGTTTTGGCTTAAAGACAGAGAAAGAAACAGATTTGATGTGTGTTCCTCAGATTTATGAATCATAAGAAGAAACTAAACTCCAAGGAAAAAAAAAATCACTTGTCTTGTTCCACCATTGAAAAAACAAATCTGAGTTTCTGATAGCGATTAATTTTTCTTTCTGCTATAGAAGAAAGAACATATATACGGATACAGCCAAGGAAATGTAGCAAAGATTTGATGTTTTTTTTTTTTCTTTTCTATGTCTCTCTCACGCGCGTATACACAGAGATTATATACACAGAAGAGCAAAAAAAAAAAAGAATTGGGTTTTACTTTTTGACCCCAGAGAGGAGAATCTTCACATCATCATCATTCGTTTAACACACACTCTTTAGCCTTTATCAATCTTTCTTTAAGCTTTTTTTTTTTTTGTAATAAGAGACTTTCTCTTTTTGCATTAAAAGCACAACATATTACGTGGGATATCGATTCACGTAAAAATATTAAAGACCCTTTTCACGAAATGTTAAAATAATAGTAGTAGATAGGGGGTATTTGACTACCTAATACTCCCTCGTTTTAGTTTATTTTTTTCAAGGGACAATTACAAAAATGCCACTTTTTATGTGCACATTTACAAGAATGTTATTAGGGATGTCCATTTATAAAAATGCCACTAATTATAGATTTATAGAGCATATATCTTAAAATTCTAAACCCTAAAACATGTTTTGACACCTAAAACCCCCTAAACACTCAAAACTAAACCCTAATAGAACATAATTAACCCAAACATAAATAATATAAAGAAAAAATAATTTTGAAAAAGTGGCATTTTTGTAAAGATTTCAAAAATGTGGCATTTTTGTAAAATGGCACTTGAAAAGTGGTATTTTTTGAAATTTCTCTTTTTTTAAATGGATGGTTTGGTTGGATGTCTATAAATTTATTAGTGTCTCAAAAATGTTTCATATTAACAGGTAAAATAGTATTAACACTAACATATAAGTAAATGATTTGTTTTTAGTTAAAAATTCAAAATCTGACATGATATTGTAGAACAAACTCAAACGGATATAACCCATGGTTCAAAATTAGTGAAGCAAAAAAATCATCATTTGAAAAAATGGTGTTAAAATATCGCATATTATTAATGGAGATAACGCAACAGGGATATATACAAATAAATGATATTTTGTATTGAAACGAAAAAATTATTTTATTTTATTTTTGTAGAACAATAATAATGTTAAACTCCTAATAAAATGAATGAGCAATTACAAAAATATCATTTTTTGTGTGCACATTTGCAAGAATGCCAATTAGGAGAGTCCATTTACAAAAATGTCACTAATTATAGATTTATAAAACTTATATCTTAAAATTCTAAACCTTAAAGAATGTTTTGACACCTAAAACCCCCTAAACACTCAAAACTAAACCCTAGTAGAACATAATTAATCCAAACATAAATAATATAAAGAAAAAATAATTTTGAAAAATGGTATTTTTGTAAAAATTTCAAAAATATGGCATTTTTGTAAAGTGGCACTTGAAAAGTGGCATTTTTTGAAATTTCTCTAAAATGAAACAATATGGATGATGTGTTATTGGTTTCTTCTAATAAAGATTGTGGTCTAAATTGATAAACTACATGATGATATAATAATCATATTTTCTTATGTCATTTTAATTTTACTAATAAAAATCATGTAGAATCATTATTTATTTTGTTTAGCAATTCTGCAAACAAGCATAAAAATCATGTAGAATCATTATGTATATTTTGTTTTCACAGTTTTCCTACTCTGTAATATAACTAAGCGAACCAAAAAAAAATAATAAAATTGATATTCTTTTGTATGAGATTCAAAGTTAGAAAACATGTTAATATCTTCTGGTGGCATATTTTAAGAAAAACAATCTCTAAGGGTGGTGAAACAAAGAGTCCTTGATAACTGATACATAAAAACATAATAAAGTAAAAAATGAAATGTACAACAAAAGCCAGAGGGTAAAAATTATTGGTTACTATTTTTGTGAAAAACCAAGAAAAACGAAAACAAAAGGAGACAAAACTATGTATATACACATATATTTTGTCAATATTTGACGACTTTCAATTATAAAATTATAATATATATTGCTGATGTCCTATCAAAGAAGAGCTACTAAAAAAGTAAAAACTATTGGCATGGGCTTTGTTGGAATATCAGTGGGAGTTGTTAAACCATCGCATTGCACATCGTCTCGTTCTGTTTCTTCTACACTCCCATTAGGATCCTACGTTTTTCCTTTCTTATATGCTACGTTCTCTTAACTCTTGTACTCATTCTAAATTTTTAATTAACAATTCTTCGTGATCTTTACATGATTTCTTTTTCACATATTCTATTGTTTTGTTGTGCTTTTGGTTTAATATTATATATATATATTTTTTTTTTTTTAATAAACAACCATGGACCAAAACTCTTACTTAATTCTCAAAACTTGTAAAAAGTTTAATATTTTTTTTTTTTGAAAACTAAGTTAGGTAGATAATTTTGCCATCTAAAATGTTTATAGTAGTCGATTAGAGAATAGAGAACCATCAATAGATTCATACTTTGTGGTATTTATATCGAAGTTCGTTGCATCCTAAAAGGTTTTATTTCCCTACTTCGATATGGTTGATCGAGAGTATTATTTAGCTATAGTCTATTTGAATTTTATCATATATATGCTTCCTAAGCAGCAGTCAAAACGTACATTCAATCCACTGATTTCAACTTTTAAGTAGATGATCTAAATCAATATTCACATAATGCACTAGCTTAAGTGCTTAATTACTTCATAATCTATATGACAGTCCAATGCCATTAGGCAAATTAATATGAGTTTGTTACCAACTTTTTTTGTTGGATAACCAACTATATATTTTAAGTAAATGATAATAAATTATCTAGATGCTTTGAAATTTTGTGGGATAAGTAAAGATTAACTAAGTTTCCATCTCACTCGAGTTGTTGGTGTTTTAGACCAACAAATTAGGATCAGATCGATTGTTAAACCACTAACCAGTATAATCCAATAAAATAAAAACTAATCAAGACTTGTGTTAGTATTTTGTCAAACTATCCAAACAACCACAATTCTACATTTGTCCAAATAATTTGACGTTATAAATGTTTCTTGGTCTCAGTTTAATTGTACACAAAAATAATTGACAAGTCCATATTGCCCACTTTGTTGACAATTTTTGCTCACCACTTCGTAACAATTTTGATATTTTCTTGTCGTCAACTATCGTACTATAAGATTGTGCTGTAATTTTCAAGATTCATCCACGTACTAAACCAAACATGAATAGATTAACTATCTAACCATGTAACCATCTAGTAGTATTTTCAAAAACATTATATTAATATGCTTTTGTCTTTATCGGAAGAAATCATGGGTCTCAATTAGGTCCAAGTGTTCATGTTCTCATCCGAAT